AGGAAAACAAGAAAAAAAGGGACAAGAAGAGAGGGACACAACCTAGAACAGATAATGGATGTCTATTCTATTAACATTTCTCTATCTGTAGAATGTCCATGGGGCCCCAAATTTCCTAAATCTGCCCCTGATCCCAGCTGATGTCCTGGTGTTACACCCAGCTTAGTACTGGTAATATTCTCACTGGTAATTTGTTGTTAGTCCCAATAAAAGGAAACATCTTCTCTGTGAAGGAGTGGATGAAGGTGTGGAGGTGTTTGTCGGCGTCCAAGTCAAAGAACGAGAGCGTCCCTCCATCCCAGTCCAGCTGGACTCGGATCCGCCTTAATTTCTTCACTGGGAGATCTTGGTTTGGGAGTGGATGGGAGACCGCCATGAAGTTTCCGTTGAATAGACATATTCCCCAGAATCCACCTCGAATTTCTCCCTTCCTCTGAACAGACTCCCTCAGCACACCCACACCCCAGTTCTGATCATTTCTGACGTCTACATCCCAGCTGTGAGTCCCCGAGCTGAAACCCTCGGAGCCCAGGACGCAGTGATGCTGGTCAAACCTCTCTGGGTTCTCTGGAAGCTTCTGTCTCGCTCCGAACGTGACGCTGGTCAGATCTGCAGACAGGATGAGTTCAGGATGAGCCGTTTTGGGGTCCAGGACGATGGGAGTATAGGAGACTGTCTTTTTCAGCTTGGTCCAGATGTTGTAGCTGAGGTTGCCCAGATGTTTGGCCTCCTCTATCAGAACTCCTGATGGTGTCTGCAGGTCATCCAGCAGGGTGCAGTGTTTCACTCGTGTTGAGGCGTCCTTGTGGTTCTGCAGGAAAGAGAGGTCTGCAGCCTTCAGCAGCTCCTCTGTGGCTCTGATTGTGTCTGAAATGACATCTATGGTTCTGTTCAGAGCCTCACCGTGTTCCTTCATTACTTTACATTTCCATTTTTCTTCCTCTTTCAGAGCAGCAATCCTGACATCCTCTTCCTCCTCCAGAAGCTGGTGAAGCCTGCTGAAATGCTTCCTGATGCGTCCCTCCGTGTGTTTGGCCTGGATCTTGACGTATTCTGCTGTCTCGTCACAGCTTCCTTTGGCTTGTTTTAGGAGCTTCAGTTTCTTCTTCAGAGGTTTTAGGATCCTCAGCAGGGCCTCCCTGTGATCCTGTGCGGCCTCCTCGACCGGTCTGAACCTGTGGTTGCTGTGTGCTTTGGAATCCCTGCAGATGAGACAAACTGGCTGCTGGTGATCCAAGCAGAACAGCTTGAGTGTCTCTGCATGAACGCTGCAGAGACGCTCTGGTCCTTTCAGGGCTTTCTTCTTCCTTTCCAGGGTGAAGGTTTCACACAGGTTCTTCAAGGCCAAGTTACAGGGCGGAGATCTGAATGAAGAAATCTCCTTACAAAGCGGGCAGCTTTCTTTCTGCCTCTCAGACCACCACCTCTGCAGACAGTCTTTGCAGAAGCTGTGGCTGCAGGACAACACAACGGGCTCTTTGAAGATGTCAAAGCAGATTGGACAGGAAAGGTCCTTCTCTGACTGGAAAGACATTTTACCTGAACGTGATGAGGAGCACCCAGCTGGTTGTGGCGTTTTTATTTTCTCAGATCTAATCCTCTTTAAATCTTCCAGCCTTCCCAGTGTAATTCATGCAGTCTCTCTCATAGCGTCTCTGGTCCCGACTGCCTAAAAAGTGCTTTAATATAAACACTTCCCTTTTTTGGGCTGAAAACATACAGAGTGAATTTTGTTCAGTTATATTGTTGCAAACAACCACAGCCGTAAGTTTGAAGGGAAGCGGTGGCCTATTGGTTAGGGCATAGGGCTTTGAATCCTGAGATTGGAAGTTTGATCCCCCACTCCCCCAGACTGCCACTCTGGCTCCCTGAGCAAGACCTTTAACCCCACACTGCTCCCCGGGCGCCGCACAATGGCAGCCCACTGCTCCCCAAGGGGATGTTTTAAATGCAGAGATAAATTTTTCCAATGTGAAATCAATAAAGTTCCATTTTTTCTGAAGGACAGGTGTGGCTCTCAGCAATATGTGGCACAAATTTCTAAATTTCATTTTGCTGCTTTTGAAGGAGGATAGTCACTGATGTAGCTGAAAGGAAAAACATCCAATCAATCAATCCACATTTTTCTGGATGGATGGAAGGATGAAGGAAACTGAAATTGTGTGCATACTAGGGAGGCATGATATATTGCTGTTATTCATCCTTTTTTTAAATATATATATATATAAATTAATGTCTAACTATCCATAAATATAAATATCAGTTTATTTTGGTTCTATTGTGTTCTCAACAGCAGGAAAGCATTCAATAAATTGAGTATAAGTTGAGTAGCTGTAGGTCCATCAGCCCCCACCCTTAGAGCGTCTCCAACAACTTTTATATAGCAAAGTTACACCCTTGGACTCACGTGTTCATAATCATCCTCCGCAGTCACTAACCTGTGTTTCTCTGCTGCAGAGTTTCCAGCCTTAGACTCCCTAGCCGCTGCCACTGCAGAACCGCAGATCCGTTGTTTAGAAATAAGCGCTTCTTGAGTAATCCCACTGTTTGTCCTGCTTGAACCCCTGGGCCTTCTGTTCAGAATCATGACAGAAAGTTCTGCTAACTTCTGAGTTTTTGTTGTGAAATAGTATAAGCCAAATATTGGAGTTAAACTGCAAAATAAAGCCAACCTAACCAAAGCTTACAATCTTAGATCTACCCCAAAAGTCTTTTTGATCTTGTTTGGAGGCTGATCTCTTGGATTGGCTCTGCTGAAAATGAAATTCACCTCAAAGTATTTTTGTATACTTGAATGTCCTAAGTAAGAGCAGCTTCTGTTAGATTAGTAATCTTTTAAGAAATAGATCAAACACATGGTTACCTTTTTGTTTTGAGAACATAGTTGTACATATGCTGAAAAGATAAAAGAAAAGCAAAATCTAAATCATTTAGTTAAAGTCCTAAACTTTATATTCTACAGAAGTTTGTTGCCTTAAAATCTGGAGTCCTGCTAACTTTTCCTTTTTTTTTTTTTTACAGTGTGGTTTGTTCCTCTTTGAGCAGAAACGAGGAACACTGAAGCAAAGAAGGAAGTAAAAACTTTAAATATCACAGGATTTTTAAAACTGCGCAGAGAAATTCAGAGGAACGGTTCAACATGTCCAGCAGCGTCATAGTTTACACAGAAAAACATCACAGTTAAGGATTGTTTATCGATGAGAAATATGACGCGGGTCATTTGTTAAAGTGGATTTGAACTGATTACTTTGACTAGGCCTGATTTGAAATGTTTGAGGTTTTCTTTTGCTATGTGTGTCTGTTTCTAAGTGAAGCTCTGTGATGATTTTCTTTAAGACTTCGTCAAAAGGGAACCACATATCTGATGAACCAAAGGACACTTTCCCCCCCATCCTGAACAGAGTCGTTTTTTTTTTTGTTTTTTTTTATCTCTTTCCCTGATTAGAAAAGCTCTGAATTAGACCAATAAAATAAATCTGCAGCTTTATTCCTTTTTTTTTTTATTACAGAGCTCTGAGATTCTGGTGAGTAAAAAGTGCTTTGCAGATAAAATGTATTTATGACTTAAAGTCCTAAAAAACTATTTAAAAAAATATTGTCCTTCTGTTTATAGGTGTGGCATTTGACCCAGTGGAAGGAAGAATTCAGGCTTAAGACTTAAATCATTTTATTGACAAGATATAAAACTAACAATCAACGACAGTGATTGAGTTATAAATATCAACATCTAAAAAAAGCAGCTGATTTCCTCTGCAGTCCGATCCAGAAGCTTTCTGAAAATTACAATCAATTAAACTGTATTTGTTGTATTTCTTTCTTCGTTGTTTTTTCTTTGCGAGATGTTAAAACCCAACTGTTAACCTTTTTTTAACAAATGGAGAAAAAAAAGTCTATTTTCTAAACTTTGGAAGCTTGTAGATCCTCCTTTCTTGGGATCAACCAGGCACCTTAGAAATTAGGAAAACTTTATAAACGCTTTAATTAGTAGAAGAATAAAGAACACAGGCATCTGTTGAGCTCATTTCCATTGACTCTTTTATTGGTCAAGATGCATCATTTTTTATTTAAATAAAATCCTGATGGACTTTGCTAAAATATTTACAGAAAAAGATAAAATAGAACCAATGGAAACAAACAGAGATAAGAGAACAAACACAACTTTATATTTATGTATGTTTAATTATAAAACAGAATGTAAAAAGGGGTGCAGATCTATCTATCTATCTATCTATCATCTATCTATCATCTATCTATCTATCTATATCATCTCTTAAGATTTATTTTAATGTTTTTTGGGGTTTGTTTTTCTCATTTGTCTTCTATCATAATTAACCCCTGGTTTAAGCACAACATTGAAAATAGTTTTTTCTAATGGTTCTTATCTAAACTGGAGGCAAAAAAAAATCAAAAATAATAAATAAGTAAATTACACAGAAAAAAGGCACCCCCACATTTAAACCTAGCTTCCCAAAGCATCAGCCTGTACCATCTCTACAGGGTGGAAACTTTCACAACATTTACATTTTCTGTTTGGGAAGCAATTAACTAAATTAAACCTATGGAGGAAATAAATAAACAAATAATTTGCAATTAACTTAAACAAATTGAAGCTAATCAATAATCCAAATCCAAACAAAAACCCAAAGTGTCTCCCCTCCCTCTCAGTCAGTGTGGATTTCCTTAATGAGGCTGATTGGAAACACCAGGTCCTTGTCAGCACTGATCATGGGCGCGCTTCCATGGCAACACCTGACCAGGTGACCTCAGAGAAAAGAGAGTGGTGAGAACAAACAAAAAAATAAGTAACATCAACAAAGACTTAAACCTTCCCCCAATAACTCAATTTTTTTAAACAGGAAATGCCTGCAACACCAATTAGTGAGGCGGTAAATCCCTCACACCTCTGATATTTTGAGGACTTTAAGTCATGTTTTGGAGTTGGTGTGATTGTGAGGAACTTCCTCACTGGAAAATATAGATCCATCATAACTTGACTTTATGAGTTTGTCACAACAAGGTCATCTTGAAAACATTCTTCTTCCAAATGTTGGCTACATATTACGGGTTTTTTCTCTGGCCAGAAGTTCGATGGCAAATCCTCCCTCTTCAAGTTGGCGATCCAACGACCAACCCGTCCGTGGAGGATCAGGAATCAGAAAGGTGGAATAACTCTTTTTTTCACTTTTACCCGATGTATTCCAGCATCCAGCTGCCATGCACGTGGGCATTGTCAGTTTCACTATAGCTCTGGTGAATTTCAATGGTGAAGTCCTCTGGAAATCTTCAATAATTGTTGTTGATGCAGATGTGTCTAGTAGTTCCCATTGATTTAGCTTGGAAAGCGGGGAGAATGGCGCTAGGCTAACCGCACCGTGACGTCACTGCTGGAAGATGGCAGGAGGGAGGGGTTACTATATTTGGGCAAAAATGGCCGCTCCCAGACTCTGTGATTGCGTTGAAAATTATTGTTTTTACCGCAAACGTATTAGTTTTAGGTATAAATAATGATCTATTGATTATTCCTCGCTGACCGGACTTCTCCTTTAAAGTTGAGTATATCCTTTGATCAACAAAGACATAATTGACCCGACACATATTTCCTCTTTTTTTCTTCTCCTAACATAATAAATTAGATCCCTTTTTGAAAGCGACATCCTGATTCCGCTGCCTGGTTCTGAGTTTACTGGTTAAAACTGATCATTGGGTTTTGTTGTTGCTGGCAGGATCTTCAGTGGCGATTCGTTCTTGGTGCAAATATAGGCAAACAGCTTCTCTGTGAAAGTGTCTCTGAAGGTGTAAAGGTGGTCGTTGGTGTCCAGGTCCAAAAAGGACACTTCCCCCCCGTCCCAGTCCAGCTGAACTCTGACCCTCTGGAGCTTTGTCACAGAGAGAGCTTTGTTGGGAAGTGCAGAGGAGACGGCTGAGAAGCCTCCATTACAGAAAGCTATTCCCCAGAACCCGGCCTGTATCTGTCCTTTCCTGGGTACAGACTCTGACAGGACACCCAGACCCCAGAACTCCTCGTTTTTAACCTCCACATCCCAGCTGTGAGTCCCTGAGCTGAAGCCTCCATGGCTGATGACACAGTGCCGCTGCCCAAACCTCTCTGGGTTGTCAGGAAGCGTCTGTCTGGGCACAAACGTGACGCGGGTGAGGTCCTCAGACAGGAGGAGGTGTGCTTCGGCCGTGTTTGGATCCAGAATCACAGGAGAGAATGAGACCATGCGCTTCATTTTGGTCCAGATGTTGTAGCTCAGGTTGCCCAGATGTTTGGCTTCATCTACCAGAGCTCCTGAGAGTGGCTGTGGGTCATCCAGCAGGGGGCACTGTTGGACTCTTTCCTTTGCTCTCCTGTAGTTCTGCAGCAGCGACAGGTCCTCAGATCTTCTAAACTCTTCCTCTGTTGCTGTGACCGTTTCTGAAAGAGCTTCGGTCTTCTTGCTCAGGTCCCCCCTCTTCTCCTTCATCAGCTGAATCTTCTGCTCCTCCTCTTCCCTCAGAGCTGCGATTCTGGCCTCCTCTTCCTCCTGCAGGAACTGATGAAGCTTCTTGAACTGCTCTTTGATCTGCATCTCTGTCCTGTTAGCCTGGACCTTGATGTGTTCTTCACTTTCCTCAAAGTTTACCTCAACTTGTTTGAACTGCTTCAGTTTGTCCTTTAATGGCATCAGATGGTTCTGCAGCTCGTCTCTGTGATCCTGCACGGTTTCATCGATGGGTCTGAAGCTGTGGTCGCTGTGGGCCTTTGAATCTCTGCAGACGAGACAAACAGGCTCCTGGTGGTCCAAGCAGAACAGTTTGAGTTTCTCTGAGTGCAGACTGCAGAGGTCCTCGGCCCCTGCGTTGGCTCTCTGGCCTCTCCCCAGAAAGAAGGCGAAACACAGGTTCTTCATCATCAGGTTTCGAGGAGGATCTCTCAGCAGGGAGATCTCCTTGCACAGTGGACACAGCCGTGTTTGTTTCCCAGCCCACTCTGCCTGCAGACAGTCCTTGCAGAAGGTATGGCTGCATTCCAACTTCACAGGATCTTTGAAGATCTCGCAGCATAGTGTGCAGGTGAGGTCCTTCTCTGACTGAACCAACATTTTGGCTTTCAGGGGGTTTTCAGATGAAAAATAATCTAAATTTCAGTGTTTTTTCCGGAGAAGTCTTTCCAGTGTCCGTCCTGATGGCACCGAGTCAGAACTTCATATGAAGAGGAACAGAAAAGGTTGAACCGTTTTATCAAACGGATTTCCAATGCAAACAACCCCATAGATAAAAAATTCCTGTGACCTTATTTGCAGAAACTAAACACTCACCGGACAGGATGGAAAAAATCTTTGTTTTCACTAATGTTGGACCACATTTAAAGGTCAGCTGCAACTTTTTCCATCAAAAAAATTAATTTATCAACACATAATACATCCATGCAACGTTTACAGTGGTTCAGAATAAAAGTATTGCTTTTCTTTCACAATAATATAGTAGATAAATAATACATTTTGTACATTTAGTGTCTAAAACAAATGAATCATGGTTATGGTGCCAACATCTACACAATTTTGCACTAATAGTTTGTTGAAGTCATGTGACACGGAGCTCAGACATTTCTAGATCCTATCAGCTCTGTGATAAAGCTAAGAAATTCTTACATTTTGAGCCAAAAAAAACACACAAAACAGAGGAAAATAACGGGGAACATCAGTGTTAGTGCCGACTTAAGGACGGAACAAAGTTAAAGTTAAAAAAAAACAATCCACTGGACTTTGTTTCTAAGTTTGAAGATGTTTCTCTTCCCATCCAGGAAGATTTTTCAATTCAAAATGTCTGGATTAGTGCTGAGTTCCAGGCTTTATACAGTAGCCAAACAAAAGCAATATTATGGCTTAGAAAGCATGCAAATTAAAACCATGATAATCAGCTTCACTCCTTAATAATGTGGAATCTTTGAGGTCGGTATTGGCCTACAATACCAGATTCCTCTGAAAAGGCAGTCGCTACGGATGTTGCTGGCCTTGCTGACTAGGCGAGATGTCTTGGTCCCCTGTAAAGTGATGGGAGTTTAGATGATAGCGGAAAGGATTCAACTCAATTGCTGTATTGTAGGTTTTTGAAAGCTGCAATCTGAGTCCACCCCCCTCTGTTTAAGGTTGGTCTTTCTTTCTTAACATAGATGGCTTCCTTCACGCCCCTCTCAAACCACCTGTCTTCTTTGTCCAAAATGTGAACATTCTGGTCCTCCAAAGAATGTCCTTTGTCCATCAGGTGTAGATGTACACTTTTCCAGAGGAGGGCGCTCTTCTGTGTTGGGCCATGCATCTGTGGAGAGGTTGTTTGGTTTCTCCAATATAAAGATCAGATCATTCCTCACTGCGTTGAACTGAAGACACCACTCTTCTCAGATTTGGTTTGGGGGTTTTGTCTTTAGGATGCACTAGCCTCGGTCTATGGGTCTTGTTTGGTTTGGATTCTACTGGGATTTTGTGTTTGGAGAAAATCCTTTTGAGTTTTTCAGTGACTATAAATAATAAAATGTTGCCACATGGATTTCACCATGTTGATTCTGCAATGCAGACTGGTTAATTAAAATATGCTAGGCCCTGCGCTAGCTGTCACGGTCTTGGTTCTGTTTAAGTTTTCTTTTGAGTTTTAAGTTTTACTTTGATCCTTGTTTCTCTTTTTTTTTCTAGTTTTATTGGTTTAATTCCTATTTTTGGTGTTTTCTGGTGCTTGGTTGTCAGAGCCAGAAGGTCAGAGATCCAGTGAGGTGCTGAGGGAGAATCCAGGACAGAGTCGGGAAACAGTTCCAGGTACGGTACACAGACAGGCAGAGATCCGGCAGGAGTCATAAGACAGGTCAGGCAAACAGATCAGACTGGAACAGGCAGGCTCCGAGGTTGAGAGGCAGAAAAGGTCAGGATCAGGAAATCAGAGTAGATGAACACTACAATAAGTCTCACCAACAGCTCAAAATAATCTGGCACCGATGACTGGTTGAAGGCTGGTTAAATAGATACTAATGCAGGTGGATCAAATAAGCAGGTAATGAGAACTGGGCGGAGTTAAGCAGGTGTGTAAAATGAGGAATCCGACCAGGCATCAGTGCCAAGATCATGACAGCTGGTGTTTGTGCGGCTGCTGTCGGGAGATGTTAACCCAGATGTGGAGCTATGCTACAAAGAGGCTGTTAGCCGTTAGCATCAGGCACAAACATTTTTTCTCAGATATATTAAAACGATGAGTTACAACTGAAAGATGCTTCACTGTCACTTTAAAAAGTCCTTCATTATCTTTTGATTGGATTTTAATTTAATGTTAGCTTCTGCTAACGGTGTTAGCTGTAGCTAATATAGTAAACAGTAGATCCCAAGCCGACCACGTCTGTTCGTTCCAACAGATATCTCATGTATACTGGCTCACGAAAACGTTGAAGGGAAATATTGTGTGAATTTACATCACTCAGGTGATAAAAACAGCTCTGCTAATGTTAGCCTTCTTGTGTTTAGTTTATAGGTTCCAGTCCAGTCAGACCTAACCATGTCATCTACCCAGCATGCATTGCACACGGGAAAAATCGCGACTTTCATTAGTGAAAAATTAGATTAGATTAGATGAGCTTTATTGATCTCACAACGGAGAAATTCACTCGTCACATATTGGCATAGTAATTAAAGAAGGTGCAAACAAGGAGGAAAAAGGTGAAATAGGAATAAAAATAAAATAAAAATAAATAAAAATAAGAAATAAAAAAAAATACAAGGGAGTAAAACAGATATTTGAGGTGACATATGTACAATCAGGATGGTTTATATAAATCTAACAAAGGAAATTATGAGTTTTCATGTATCAAAAATGGCAGTTTTTAAATTAATAAGAAAATTAAAACATACCTAGGCCAACATTTTCAACTCTCATTCAAAATACATTTTCTAAATATTCCTTAAATATTGGATTTAAGGCCTTAGAGGTCCTAGTCATCCATCTGAAGGATCTGTCTAAAGACTCTGCGTCTCATTTGCATTTTTCTAACGAAAACCAGTGATAAATCTTCTCTGTTCATTTCTCCTATATTTATCTCATGGAGTTTCATCCAAAAGAGTCCCAGTGTCTGTCCCATCCTTGCTGTGTCATACGTCCTCTTGCTGGTTTGCAGAGCCGGTTTCTAATCTCATGCCCTAAAGTTGAATTCTCCCTGTACAGCTTTGTTTATCTGGCTGTCGTCTCATTTCTTCTGCTTTGCATTTAGCTTATCTTCTCCAGGTGTTGCTGGGCCTCAGTTCCTCTTTGCTTTTCTTTCCTCTAACTTGTAAAAAAAATAATGATTAAGTGACACATTATAAAACAATGATAAAAGCACAGTCTAGCTTGTATTATGCTCTAACTCCTGAATAACTAAAAACATTCGTTTGACCTGTTTAATACTTACTAATATACGACAATATTAAAACTAAAAAAATATAATTTTTAAAGTAACACTCTACACTCAACTTCTAGCCACTAGGGGTGCTGCACTCGTAACTTCCAAAATTATGGTACGTTCACACCGCGATTTCAGCAGAAAAAAAGCTTCTACTGCTTGATGATGCACATTAAGGTCAGACGTCCAGTAAAGTGAGTCTAGGTGCGTCTGATGCTTCTGCTGCTCCTGTGTTCAATGCCAGAGCAGCTTTGCTATATTAGCTGTGATCAGCGGGTAAAAAGTAGTTAGAATCTATGTTGAAGTGAGAAAGTCCTCCTGAAAACATGGTCTGTGCAGTCAGTTCATCCAGATTACCATCCTGCCTCCAAAGATTATTTCTCTGTGGGAGGCGCTCAGACCCCCACATACCGGCGCTGCGCTGTCACTGGGAATCCCCAGCAGCAGCTGCCTCAGGCCCGGGAGCCTCTCCAGGGTTTTCCCCTACTGCTGGTGGCGGCTGGAAGTAGATGTTAGCGTTTTTCAGGTCTGTGCTACAAACTGCAGGCAGCAGGATAATAAAAGCCAACATATTCTGCAGGCAGGTTTCTACATTTGAAGTTAATTTAGGCGTTAATAAAACTGTTTCAGAGGAGTGATCATAGCGCTCTGCATCAGCAGTGCTGTGTCTGACTCCCTGTCAGCTCCCAGATCAGCTTCTCTCATTGGTTGATGCGGCGCGTCCAGCAGCTAAAGTTACATTTTTCCAACTCCAGGAGCTGCTGCTTCTGAACTGCGTCATGCGCCTCAGATGCTTCAGTTGCTCTTGACACACTGCAGGACATTTTGATGTGCGTCAACCATAGACTTTGCTGGTTAACCTACAACTTCTGCTACTTGAATCGCTTGTGGCCTGAACTTAGTCCCCCTGAAGGTCACTGGCAGCACTGCACTGTAACTACAGTAACTGAGTTCTGTCAGACCAGGATACCTATAGTCAATACGCAAGATTTGCGTTTATCCCTTTAGTTTTGTAAGAAAAATAGACTTCAAACTACCTGAACGGGCGTGTATCCCTTTAGTCTCTGTATTTTAGGACCCGTTTGTACCAAAAGACTGAGAAATCATGGAGATACTTGTACATTAGAGGCCTGATCCACCCCTCCAGGTAAACTTCTGATGTCTGATCAGGAAAAGGTTGAATCTCTTTTGTAGCCAAACAACTTTTAGCTTAGCACTGGTGTTAAAGGGGAGCTCAGACTGCCGTAAAGCGGCGCTCTGGGTCACATGGCTCATTCAGCGGTGGATCCGACTCTCTCAAGTTACAGAGGAGAGTTTTAGAGAAGAGCAGCCTGTTCTGAACATCAATACACACCAAGAGCTGAATAATGACCTGAAAAATTATCTAATACATAAATAGTCATGTTGCTTTAAAAAAAATCAGTAAAATGAAATAAAATTCCACTTTATTTAGTCTGAAGTTGCATTTTTTAAATTTTTATTTATGTTATTTTAGCACAAAAACATGCACTTGAATTTAAATATCATTGTTATCAGGGTTAGGGTTTCTTTTTGCTCAGTACAAGGACAAATAAAAGCATTTAATTCAGTTAGGTTTATTTCTGTAGCACCAATCCACAACACACGTCATCTCAGGCAATTTCCAGTTCACCAGATCATCCAGTCAGATTGATTCAATGTTTTCTATCTAAGGAAAACCGGCTGATTGCATCGACTCATTGACTCTTCAGCAATCCCTCACACTAAGCATGCTTGTAGCGACAGTGGAGAGGAAAAACTCCCTTTTAGCAGGAAGAAACCTCCAGTGAGAAACAAAACCAAAAACATTGTCTTACTTTCTTAAATTATGCAATATAAACTTATTGCAACAAAAAACAGATTTCCATTAAATGGTGTTTGTTTTAAGGTAGAAAAGAAAAGTTGAAGAGGTTTGAATACTTCCACTGCACCGATGGACACTCGATAAGATAAGAGCAATAATAGAGATAAACAACAAAAAGAATTCAAAGCATGCTAATTTCATCAAAACAAGAAGGCTGCTGCCAGACAGACTGCATGCTACTCTGCAGAGATAACTGCTGGTAAAATCTTCAGGACAGACTCGTCGCTGTTGGCAAAGTAAGGAAAGAGTCTGTTGTTGAAGGAATGTCTGAAGGTGTGAAGGACTTTGTTCGTATCCAGATCGATGAAGGAAAGCCTCCCTTTGCTGAAATCCAGCTGAACTCTGATCCTCTGGAGGTTTTTCACGGACAGAGATTTACCTGGCTGTGGCGAGGAGGAAGCTTCATAGTTCCCATCAGTGAGACAAACTTCCCAGTAACCCGTCTGTATTTGGCCTTTCCTCTGAGCCGACTCCTTTATCACTCCAACGCCCCAACATTTACTGCGTCCAACTTCCACATCCCAGTGGTGAGTTCCTGAGTCAAAGCCCTCTGAGCCCAGGACACAGAGGTGCTGATCGAACCTCTCTGGGTTGTCAGGGAGCTTCTGTGTCTGTCCAAACGTTACGGAGGACAGATCATCAGAGAAGACCAGTTTTGGATGGGCTGTGTTTGGATCCATGATGACAGGGAAGAAAGAGACCATCGCCTTCATCCGGATCCAGATATCATACACCAGGTTGCCCAAATGCTTGGCCTCATCTAGCAGAACTCCTGATACTGGCTTAGTGTGATCCAGCAGGGGGCGCCGTTGGATTCCTAACTTTACTGTCTGGTAGTTCAGAAGAAATGAGATGTCTGGAGCCACCAGCTTGTCATCTGTGGTTCTGATTATTTCTGACATGGCTGAAATCTGTGAATTCAGAGCCTGGATTTTCTCCTCCAGCACCTTCCTCTTCCGCTCCTCTTCCTCTCTCAGAGCGGAGATCCTGGCCGCCTCCTCCTCCTTTAGAAACAGATAAAGTTTCTTGAACTGATCTTTGATCTGCTTTTCTGTCCGCTCGGCCTGGACCCTGATGTGTCCTGCAGTTTGTTCCATGTTGTCTTTAGCCCGGTTAAACAGATCCAGTTTTTCCTTTAAGAACATCAGGTAGCCATTGAGCTCCTCTCTGCATTGGAGCACAGCTTCATTGATGGGCACAAATCTGTGGTTTCTGTGGGCATTAGAGTCCCGGCAGACGAGGCAGATGGGCTTCAGGTGCTCCAGACAAAACAGTCTGAGCTTCTCATGGTGCTCGGGGCAGAGATCCTCGGACTCCGCGGGGGCTTTTTGTTCTCTTTCCAGGAGGAAACCCTCACACAGGTTCTTCAGCACCAGGTTGCAAGGCGGATCGCTGGATGGAGAAATGTCCTTACAAAGAGGACACGTGTAGATCTGCTTCCCAGACCACCAACACTGCAGGCAGGCTCTGCAGAAGCTGTGGCTGCACTGGAGGACAACGGGGTCCTTGAAGATCTCTTGGCAGACGGAACAAGAAAGGTCATCCTCTGCCTGAGAAAACATGATTAAAATACAAAAATCTTCCAAATATCACCTTCAAACTTCTCTCTCCTTAAAAGTCTTTAATAGGCACCAGTTTGCTATCGAGTTGCAGGTTTCCAGTGGTCATATATCGAAAGGGTGATGACTCCAACACTGCATGCACGCAAAATGAGGTTGAACAATGCACAGGTTGGCGTCTTTATAGGTTTGGAATGAGAAGCATGTTTGACACACCTCTCCTGCTTCAGATTAGGCGAATGTTTCTTCTCAGGTTCAGGATTTCTGAGAACATCTGTCCTTTATAAAATACAAAATCTTTAGTGAAAGAGTTGAAGCTATCGGATAAATAAAACCAACAAGGGGAAGAACGGGTTTATTTCAGGTATCTTCTTTTTGATGCAGAAGATTCATATGAAACAAAACCAAGAAAGGTAGAGAAAACAGAAAATTATCCGGCACCAATCTCATCGCCTCCCAAAACAGCTCTGCTGGAAAGACAAGTTAAAGCAGAAAGGCTGAACGTAAAGCGCGGCAAGTCAGGGCGGGTTTATCTGTAATGCACAGTTCAGTCTGTTAAGCTGTTGCACATGAACAAAGCACAAGAAAAAAACACGAGATGTAGATAAAGGTTGTGCAACAATCTTAAATGGATCTTTCTTTAGTCAAATGTCACTGTGAGCCAACGGATTGTAACCAAGGCGACACAAAGTCCTGTAAAACTGGGTTTTTATTCCAATCTTCTGAGGCTGCGGCTCCCGCCTCTCACAGGTTCAAACAACACGTTTTATTCCAGCTTCCTGCCTCTAACTCCCAGAACCCCCCACGCCAGGTCCTGCCGCTAAAGCGATAATCTGAAAGACTTCACCTGGAACCACCTGGGATGTCCCTTGTTCAATTACAGCTAATCATTGTTGGGGCCTCACCTCCTCCCAAGTCAAGATCCCTTTCCTTAATTTAATTTTATTTAATTTTTTTTTTTACAGTGTCCTGTCTGGCAATGTGGCAATAAGAATAATTGTCTTGATGCCAAAAAGAGCCCAACAGATTTTAGTTTCACAAGTGGAGCAGGACAGCTATCGCCATAGTGTTCTGCTTGATTTATGCATAGAAATAGCTTTATTATAATTATGCAGGGAGTTTTACAGATTATATGGACACTGCAATGTAAGTAGAGCAGGAAAGGAAAAACAGAAAAAAGGAGAAAAGATGAAAGAAAGAGGAGATAAAAGGGAGATAANGTCATGCGCCTCAGATGCTTCAGTTGCTCTTGACACACTGCAGGACATTTTGATGTGCGTCAACCATAGACTTTGCTGGTTAACCTACAACTTCTGCTACTTGAATCGCTTGTGGCGTGAACTTAGTCCCCCTGAAGGTCACTGGCAGCACTGCACTGTAACTACAGTAACTGAGTTCTGTCAGACCAGGATACCTATAGTCAATACGCAAGATTTGCGTTTATCCCTTTAGTTTTGTAAGAAAAATAGACTTCAAACTACCTCAACGGGCGTGTATCCCTTTAGTCTCTGTATTTTAGGACCCGTTTGTACCAAAAGACTGAGAAATCATGGAGATACTTGTACATTAGAGGCCTGATCCACCCCTCCAGGTAAACTTCTGATGTCTGATCAGGAAAAGGTTGAATCTCTTTTGTAGCCAAACAACTTTTAGCTTAGCACTGGTGTTAAAGGGGAGCTCAGACTGCCGTAAAGCGGCGCTCTGGGTCACATGGCTCATTCAGCGGTGGATCCGACTCTCTCAAGTTACAGAGGAGAGTTTTATAGAAGAGCAGCCTGTTCTGAACATCAATACACACCAAGAGCTGAATAATGACCTGAAAAATTATCTAATACATAAATAGTCATGTTGCTTTAAAAAAAATCAGTAAAATGAAATAAAATTCCACTTTATTTAGTCTGAAGTTGCATTTTTTAAATTTTTATTTATGTTATTTTAGCACAAAAACATGCACTTGAATTTAAATATCATTGTTATCAGGGTTAGGGTTTCTTTTTGCTCAGTACAAGGACAAATAAAAGCATTTAATTCAGTTAGGTTTATTTCTGTAGCACCAATCCACAACACACGTCATCTCAGGCAATTTCCAGTTCACCAGATCATCCAGTCAGATTGATTCAATGTTTTCTATCTAAGGAAAACCGGCTGATTGCATCGACTCATTGACTCTTCAGCAATCCCTCACACTAAGCATGCTTGTAGCGACAGTGGAGAGGAAAAACTCCCTTTTAGCAGGAAGAAACCTCCAGTGAGAAACAAAACCAAAAATATTGTCTTACTTTCCTAAATTATGCAATATAAACTTATTGCAACAAAAAACAGATTTCCATTAAATGGTGTTTGTTTTAAGGTAGAAAAGAAAAGTTGAAGAGGTTTGAATACTTCCACTGCACCGATGGACACTCGATAAGATAAGAGCAATAATAGAGATAAACAACAAAAAGAATTCAAAGCATGCTAATTTCATCAAAACAAGAAGGCTGCTGCCAGACAGACTGCATGCTACTCTGCAGAGATAACTGCTGGTAAAATCTTCAGGACAGACTCGTCGCTGTTGGCAAAGTAAGGAAAGAGTCTGTTGTTGAAGGAATGTCTGAAGGTGTGAAGGACTTTGTTCGTATCCAGATCGATGAAGGAAAGCCTCCCTTTGCTGAAATCCAGCTGAACTCTGATCCTCTGGAGGTTTTTCACGGACAGAGATTTACCTGGCTGTGGCGAGGAGGAAGCTTCATAGTTCCCATCAGTGAGACAAACTTCCCAGTAACCCGTCTGTATTTGGCCTTTCCTCTGAGCCGACTCCTTTATCACTCCAACGCCCCAACATTTACTGCGTCCAACTTCCACATCCCAGTGGTGAGTTCCTGAGTCAAAGCCCTCTGAGCCCAGGACACAGAGGTGCTGATCGAACCTCTCTGGGTTGTCAGGGAGCTTCTGTGTCGGTCCAAACGTTACGGAGGACAGATCATCAGAGAAGACCAGTTTTGGATGGGCTGTGTTTGGATCCATGATGACAGGGAAGAAAGAGACCATCGCCTTCATCCGGATCCAGATATCATACACCAGGTTGCCCAAATGCTTGGCCTCATCTAGCAGAACTCCTGATACTGGCTTAGTGTGATCCAGCAGGGGGCGCCGTTGGATTCCTAACTTTACTGTCTGGTAGTTCAGAAGAAATGAGATGTCTGGAGCCACCAGCTTGTCATCTGTGGTTCTGATTATTTCTGACATGGCTGAAATCTGTGAATTCAGAGCCTGGATTTTCTCCTCCAGCACCTTCCTCTTCCGCTCCTCTTCCTCTCTCAGAGCGGAGATCCTGGCCGCCTCCTCCTCCTTTAGAAACAGATAAAGTTTCTTGAACTGATCTTTGATCTGCTTTTCTGTCCGCTCGGCCTGGACCCTGATGTGTCCTGCAGTTTGTTCCATGTTGTCTTTAGCCCGGTTAAACAGATCCAGTTTTTCCTTTAAGAACATCAGGTAGCCATTGAGCTCCTCTCTGCATTGGAGCACAGCTTCATTGATGGGCACAAATCTGTGGTTTCTGTGGGCATTAGAGTCCCGGCAGACGAGGCAGATGGGCTTCAGGTGCTCCAGACAAAACAGTCTGAGCTTCTCATGGTGCTCGGGGCAGAGATCCTCGGACTGCGCGGGGGCTTTTTGTTCTCTTTCCAGGAGGAAACCCTCACACAGGTTCTTCAGCACCAGGTTGCAAGGCGGATCGCTGGATGGAGAAATGTCCTTACAAAGAGGACACGTGTAGATCTGCTTCCCAGACCACCAACACTGCAGGCAGGCTCTGCAGAAGCTGTGGCTGCACTGGAGGACAACGGGGTCCTTGAAGATCTCTTGGCAGACGGAACAAGAAAGGTCATCCTCTGCCTGAGAAAACATGATTAAAATACAAAAATCTTCCAAATATCACCTTCAAACTTCTCTCTCCTTAAAAGTCTTTAATAGGCACCAGTTTGCTATCGAGTTGCAGGTTTCCAGTGGTCATATATCGAAAGGGTGATGACTCCAACACTGCATGCACGCAAAATGAGGTTGAACAATGCACAGGTTGGCGTCTTTATAGGTTTGGAATGAGAAGCATGTTTGACACACCTCTCCTGCTTCAGATTAGGCGAATGTTTCTTCTCAGGTTCAGGATTTCTGAGAACATCTGTCCTTTATAAAATACAAAATCTTTAGTGAAAGAGTTGAAGCTATCGGATAAATAAAACCAACAAGGGGAAGAACGGGTTTATTTCAGGTATCTTCTTTTTGATGCAGAAGATTCATATGAAACAAAACCAAGAAAGGTAGAGAAAACAGAAAATTATCCGGCACCAATCTCATCGCCTCCCAAAACAGCTCTGCTGGAAAGACAAGTTAAAGCAGAAAGGCTGAACGTAAAGCGCGGCAAGTCAGGGCGGGTTTATCTGTAATGCACAGTTCAGTCTGTTAAGCTGTTGCACATGAACAAAGCACAAGAAAAAAACACGAGATGTAGATAAAGGTTGTGCAACAATCTTAAATGGATCTTTCTTTAGTCAAATGTCACTGTGAGCCAACGGATTGTAACCAAGGCGACACAAAGTCCTGTAAAACTGGGTTTTTATTCCAATCTTCTGAGGCTGCGGCTCCCGCCTCTCACAGGTTCAAACAACACGTTTTATTCCAGCTTCCTGCCTCTAACTCCCAGAACCCCCCACGCCAGGTCCTGCCGCTAAAGCGATAATCTGAAAGACTTCACCTGGAACCACCTGGGATGTCCCTTGTTCAATTACAGCTAATCATTGTTGGGGCCTCACCTCCTCCCAAGTCAAGATCCCTTTCCTTAATTTAATTTTATTTAATTTTTTTTTTTACAGTGTCCTGTCTGGCAATGTGGCAATAAGAATAATTGTCTTGATGCCAAAAAGAGCCCAACAGATTTTAGTTTCACAAGTGGAGCAGGACAGCTATCGCCATAGTGTTCTGCTTGATTTATGCATAGAAATAGCTTTATTATAATTATGCAGGGAGTTTTACAGATTATATGGACACTGCAATGTAAGTAGAGCAGGAAAGGAAAAACAGAAAAAAGGAGAAAAGATGAAAGAAAGAGGAGATAAAAGGGAGATAAAGATAAAACATCTTCAGTCTGCTTCATCACCTGCAAAGAGATGGAAAAAGAACAGAACAACCAACGGATATAATATAAGATATACAGTAAAGTAACACAAGTAACAAGATCCCTTTCATTCAGCTCTCACCCTAGCTTCTCTCTCCCACATGCTGGTCAAATTTCACCCACCTCCTCTCCATCTCCTCCCTCACTGTTAGGCTATTCGCTCTGGCTGGCATTAACGGGACAGATTGACCCAGTTTTCAAAGCGAGTCAGACAATGTTTCAAAAAAGACAAAGTTTCAAAACGTTTAATGACAGAAATAATAAAACAGAACAGAAGAGAATGCGGTCTGCTGAGGAAAAGCGGACCACAACGGCTGCAGGAGGGGTGAGATGTGGCTCAGGGGCGTCCAAAGCAGCCCCAGTGAGCAGGCAGGAGACCGATCCAGGTTAGAGAAAAGGTTCAGGACCGGACAGTTCTGAGATCCAGGAGTCGGTAGCCCGACCAGTGGTTCCGGTCCAAACAGGAACAGACAGATCCAGGGT